GAGGAAAAATAGCCAAGGTAGAAACATCTGAGTGACTTTAAGGCTAAATAATTATGGCTAGATGGCTGGGTCAGAGCATCTCCAAAATGGCAAGTCTTGTGGGGTATTCCAGGTGTATGCAGTGGTTAGTACTTACAAAAAGTGGTGCATGGAAGGACAACCGCTAAACCAGTGTTAGGGCTATGGGTGCCAAAGGCTCGCTGATGAATGTGGGAGCAAAGGCTAGCTCATTTGGTCCAATCACACAGAGCTTCTGTAAAATGTAAGACTATTATAGAAATATAAATACAAAAAGATAAGTCATGCGCTCACTCCCATCACTCCTGGGCGGCAGCAATGACTACAGTACACATCAGCCCCAATGTATAGTTAAAAACCAAAGAAAAAAAAAAGTTACCTGCGCTCTCTCCTTAATCCCTGTGTGTGTATATATATATATATATATATATATATAAATATAAATATATATATATATAGAAATGGAGGTAATTTAGTTACTCCAATGGCCATTGGAGGGAATGCCCGCCTGCCAACGTCAAGGCAGACCCCCCTAAGCGGGTCCTACACTGACCCTTTACCTTGCTTCCTTGAGCTTCTGGCAAAGATATCTCCACTGAGACAGAGAGGGATATTTTTTATATACACCCCTATATACTTATTAACCCTTAATAGGGAACACATGGGATAGGCGGCTGCATTGTAACAAAGCTGTGTGATACAAAAAGTGAATACAAATACAAAAAGATAAGTCCTGCCCTCGCTCCCATCACTTCTGGGCGGCAGCAATGACTACAGTACACATCAGCCCCAATATATAGTTAAAAACCAAAGAAAAAAGTTATATTTAGACAAATGGAGGTCATTTAGTTACTCCAATGGCCTTTGGAGGGAATGCCCGCTTTGTTACAATGCAGCCGCCCATCCCATGTGTTCCCTATTAAGGGTTAATATGTATATAGGGGTGTATATAAAGATATCTTTGCCAGAAGCTCAAGAAAGCAAGGTGAAGGGTCAGTGTAGGGCCCGCTTAGGGCGGTCTGACTTGATGTTGGTAGGCGGGCATTCCCTCCAATGGCCATTGGAGTAACTTAATGACCTCCATTTGTCTAAATATACATAGGGATTAAGGAGAGAGTGCAGGTAACTTTTTTCTTTGGTTTTTATTATAGAAATATGTCAGAACACACATTGCATTGCAGTTGGCTATGTATGGGGCTTTGAAGCCACAGGCCTATCAAAGTGCCTATGATGACCCCTGTCCACTGCTAAAAGTGCCTTCAATGGCAATGTGGTCATCAGAACTGGACCATGGAGCAGTGGAAGAAGGTTACCTGGTCTGATGAATCTCATTTCATTTTAAATCAAGTCGATGGCTGCATGCATGAGTGTTGGTTACCTGGGGAAGAGATGTCAGCAGGACGCACAATGGTTAAGAAGGCAGATCAGCAGAGGCAGTATTATACTCTGGGCAATGTTCTGCTGTGAATCCATGGGTCCTGGCAATCATGTGGATGTAACACCTACAAAGAAGTTGTTGCAGACCCCGTACACCCTTCATGGCAATGGTGTTCCCTGATGGCAGTGGCCTCATTCAGCAGAATAACGCACCTTGCCACACTGCAAAATTTGTTCAGTAATTGTTTGTGAAACATGAAAAAGAGTTCAAGATGTTGCCTTGATACAATACGATATAAGTATAGTGGGAGTAGAGAATAAAAAAATTACAATAGACATTAATATGTAGTATATCTAAAAACCAAAATCTACATTAAGTCCTTCATTTATGTTGTGGAAAACGTAATAATTTTCATCTCAAATGTTTTCCATTTATGAGAGTTTTCCCTTTAAGTTTAATCTTGAGATTTCAGATAGAGTAATCAGTCTGGGCAAATAGTGTCCAACAGGGGTACATTATTTGTTTTCCTTTTGGTTTTTGATTCATTCATCCTGAGATGCAATTCAAGGCCAAGTTCTCCAATGTAGCAAACTTTGTCACAAGCTGTACACTGTATCATGCAGATAAGGGTGTCACTGCCCGATAAAAAGACAACATTGAAAACAAGATTGTTTTTAAATAACAGGATCTTCATTGGATCAGTAAATCTACATGGCCAAAATTAATATCTCGTAGGTTAAAACCTGTTGAAACATATGATAATGGGATTCCAACTAGTCAGAAGTCACAAGAAGTAGAGGAAGAAGTAGATGAAAGAAAGCAAGAGCATCAAAGATGGAGAAATCTAAAACAGAGGAAATCAACCAAAAATATTTGGTGTAAGCGATGTGTGAGTGTATGAACATGCCAAAAGCCAAATAAACTGAATATGGCATAATTAGGATGGGTTTACACCGGTTGAAAGTGTTGGAGTCATAACACCTCCCAGTGAAAATGTATCATCAAATGAAATAGATAGCACGGAAATATATTACAAGTAGACTTGTGCATTCAGTTTCCCCTGTGCTCAAGTCCAGCATGTTACTCACAGGGTGGATGGATTATTAGGAGGACTGGGGCTGACCTAGTTGTCATGGTCCATATTGGTATAAATGACAAGTTAGAGGAAGATGGAGGACCTTAAAGAATGAGTTTATGGAATTGGCAAACTTAAGAAGAAGACCTCCAAGATGGTATATTTATAGTAGAAAGTCAGCAGAGATTAAAGAGGTGTGACTGAAGTCTTGGTATGGGAAGGAGCACTGGGTTTTCAGAGAAGTGGGCCAATTTTGTGCTTGGGAACAATCTTTATAGCTGTGATGAATTGCACCTGAGGGGGAGTGCAACTTTTGAGCTATGGGAGAGGATGACTAGAAGGTTGGAGGAGACTTTAAACTTGGAGTGGGGCAAGGATCAAAAATGATAAATGTGGTAGATCATACAGAAAGGAGAGGGAATTCAGCTGAAATCCATGAGGGTGGAGATGGGGTGGTAAGATTAGCAGACAGAGCAAGAAGGTATTAATTACATGTTGTTCAAATAATGTTTTAAAAACAAATGGCACCTTGAAATGTTTGCTTGCTAATGCAATAAGCTTGTGTAGTGTAGGAAAATAGGGGAACTTGATATATTGGCATACAAGGAACAGTGGGATTACTGAGACTTGGTGGAATGAAATTCTTGACTGGGCTATTAATTTAAATGGATATACATAATATAGAAAGGATATGAAAAATAGAAAAGGGAAAAATATGTCTTTATATTAAACCTGATTTGAATACAAGTGTTTGAAGCCTTATGGGTAGACTAATGCATACAAGAAGAGGATATCCATTAATAGTAGGTATATGTTACAAGCACCCATAAATTAATACTGATGGGGTAGAGCAACTACTTTCTCAAATGAATAGGGCTGCACAACTGGATAATTTGTTAATCATGTGAACTTTTAATTTTCAGACATTGAGTGGACAGGAGGGACAGTTAAGGAAAAGTTAAGTTACAGTTAAGATTTTTGAACCTGATGATCGATAATGTTATGTCAGTTTGTAAAAGCGCCAACTAGAAGAGATGATTGTCTAGAGCTTGTCATAACTAATAATGTTGACTTATTTTCAAATATTCAGGTTAGGAAGCACTTGGGAAATAGTGACCTTGATATGATATCATTTGAGATTTACTAAAAAAAACAAAAACAAATTTATTTGGGCTGTACAAAACAGCTTCATAAAGAAAAAGCACATTTTAATAGGATAAGGGCATCTTAAATAATTGTCTGGCAAGAAAGATTCACTGGCAAAAGCACAAATGATAAATAGAAGGTCTTTAAACAAATTCTGCAAAAGTACATTTCTCAATATATACCATTGGGAAACAAATATTAAAGAAGCAAATTAAAAAGTCTATGGTTTAATACAATGGCTTAAGGCATGGGCGTAGGAACCCCAAAAAATCTGGGGGTATAGCATTTTTACTCGCCGGGTACATTCTTATTCCATAAACTATGAGTTGTTTATCCCATTGCACAGCGCTAAGGAATTTGTAGTTGCTATATAAATGATTAAATAATAACTTTAAAGGGTCACTACAGGGAAGGGATTTTACTTACCTGGATACAGCGCTGGGATCCTCCTGATGCTGCGCCCCCTAGTTCGTCAAAATAACGAAATAGGAAGGTGCGAGCAGGGAGCAATAAAACGCTTCAATTCAGAAGCGTCATTGCTCTCTGGTGCGCATGCGCAGCTTTGCTGCACATGCACAGATACTTCATAGGGCGGCATTCATGTCTCGACTAGGAAGCATCTCTAGTAGCCATCTGAGTGTCCACTGGAGGTATTCCTCAGCAGTAATGTAAATACTGCCTCTTAACGAAATGGCTGTGTTACATTAAAAAGCCTGCAAAGACATGCTATAGACACCAGAACTACTACGTTTAGCTGTTGTGGTTCTGGTGACTATAGTGTCCCTTGAATATAGAGAGGAAAAAAGAATCATCACAAATGTAAGAAATAAAATGTCTGTATCATTATTCTAAAAATTATTTTAAAAAAATAAAAAAATATGCACATTCCTAGCTTAATTTTTAGCACGACATATGACACAAACATTTTGTACTTTGCAGATTACTTTTTATATTTTTTTTATACATATACAGATTGTGTAATACTGCCCCTGACTTAGGGTGACCACATTTCCTAACTGCCATTCAGTGACACTTTCAGAAATGCATTCCATACATTTTACTACCCGTCTCTACCCCTTCCATTTATATTAGAACCCCTTTCCATGTAAATTAGAGATTAGTGCCACGAATAATATGCTAGATTGCCTACTTACAACCAGATGAGGATGATGATGGGCTCTAGCTGCAGTCTGGCTCCACTGGTCTGGTGTAGAACAGGCTCTCTGGAGGCTGTTTGTAACTGTGGTCACAAAAATCAATGTTCTGGGAGAACGGAAAGCAGCTCCATTTTTTGGGAGCCCTTTACACATCTCATGGTCTGGGTCCCAGGGTCCACCTTCATGTTCCACCAATGAGTTTGTTCACAGGGGGTGGAATGTGTAGGGGATGTCCTGATATGTGTGTAAGGAATGCATTGTGTGAATCTGTGTTTGTATGTGTAAGGGCTGCAAGTTGTGTTTCTGTGTATGTACGGGATGCAGTGTATGCGTCTGTAAGGGGTGCATTGAGTGTGTGTACGGGGTGCATTTAGTGTGTGTAAGGAATGCATTGTGTGTTTCTGTGTGTGTAAGGTTTGCATGATTGTGCGATTGTGTGTGTGTGTGTGATGGATGTCAATCTCTCCCCCTCCCTTGTCACTCTCTTTCTCCCCTTCCCTCCCTCGTCACTCTCTCTCCCTCCCTCATCACTCTCTCTCTCCCCCTCCCTCGTCACTCTTTCTCCCCCTCCCTTGTCACTCTCTCCCCTCCTTTGTCACTCTCTTTCTCCCCCTCCTTCCCTTGTCACTTTCTCCCCCTCTCCCCCTCCCTCCCCACTTTCTCCCCCTCTCCCCCTCCCTCCCTTGTCACTTTCTCCACCTCTCCCCCTCCCTCCCTTGTCACCTCACCTTTCTCCCCACCTCGTCAATCTCTCTCCCTCCTCCCTCCCTGTCCTTTCTCCCCTCTCCCCTCTCTCCCACTTTCTCCCCCTCTCCCTCCTCATTACTTTTCCCTCCCCCACCTCCTCCCCCTCCCTCCCCACTTTCTCCCCTCTCCCTCCCTCATCCCCTTCTCCCCCTCTCCCCCTCCTCCTTGTCTTTCCCCCTCCCTCCTCCTTCCTTGTAACTTTCTCCTCTCTCCCCTCGCCCTTGTCCTTTCTCCCTCTCCCCTCCCTCCCTTGTCACTTTCTCCCCTCTCCCTCCCTCCCTTGTCCTTTCTCCCCCCTCCTCCTTGTCACTTTCTCCCCTCCCTCCCTGTCACTTTCTCCCCCTCCCTCCTTGTCACTTCCCCCCCCACCTCTCGGTTGGCAAGGCAGACATGGCGGTGCAGGACTTTTTTTTCTGTACCCGGGGACTTTAACACACACTGTGGTGTGTACTCTGTTAGTCCGGCCGGTACAGGAGACAGATGCTCCCTGTACCCGCGGACTATACTGAGCTCGGCCACGCTACAACTGAGGGAGTGACAGGAGGGAGCGCTGAGCGCTAAGCGCTTCCCTCCTGTCAGCCCCTCTCCTCAGGCTGGGCCCGGGCGGTGCGGTCCGCCCTCATGGACGCACCGCCCGGGCAAAGCTGCAGCCGCCTGAGGCTCTCTACAGAGCGCTCGGGTGGCTACAGCATGAGGGGGCCGGCGGAGCTGGGGGGGATTTCCCCATAACCTGTCCACCCCCGCATGATTTGCTGGGGGGGATGCGTCCCCCCATCCCCCCCGGTTCCTACGCCCATGGCTTAAGGCAGTGAGGAGATATGGTACAATAGATTGATTCCAACGTGCATGCATAAAATCCACCTACTTTTCCAGGGATTTGAGGGCGCAAGAGGGGAAAATGCACCTGGCATAGACAGGAACTTTCTGCTGTTGCATACCTGCGGCATAGGATGATCAATGGATGACAATGTTTCTGTAGATAGCATGGATTTGTCAATATTTTGGGGACTCATGTTCTTCTCTCTTTTCTACTTAAGATTGTTAGTACACAGTGGTACCATAGATGAATATACTAGCTATTTGCCTAAACGCTCTTGTAACGGATCGACTGGCACCCCGACTGAGTACCTCCGTTAAAGGATGCTCCTAGCGTTTCCTGAGGACTCCAAGCACTCTGGCAGACACCACAATCACCGAACCGAAGAAGCATATAAATCCTCTCAAGCATATGAATGCTGCAGACAGTTGAATAGGAACCATACGAATAGGTTTACTCTCCTAGCAGTCAAACTGGAACAGCATACAATAAATCCTTCCCCCAATAATGAGACGACACTTCACTTTGAGGGTTAAAACAGGAACTCTCTGTACTGTCACATACAGTCTCTTTTATTCCCAATCCACAAACATAGTACAGCCCACAGGGCGTTACAAAACAACCAATCACATCACAGTTACATCCCACATATTCCCTCCCCTTATCCTGAGAGGAAACTCAATTATACATACAGTTAAAACATACTTTCTACCCAACTTTCATAACTCCAAAACCATACATCACATTCACATAAAATTACATATTCACAATCAATCCATTCAGGGGAACAACATATTCAAAATGGCACAAATCAGACAAGGGGTTCAAAAGTTAGTAAAAAGTCCTTTGTGACTAAATGAAGCATGGCTTTCTGGCCCAAACCAGTTTCAGAGTCTTCTATCCTGGAGATAAGTAATTCAATTATCTCCCAGGACAGACACAAGACTCCATTAAGCACATGGTTGCAAAAAGACACAAAACACTTTAAAATACATAAAGTCACATTTACACATAACACACAGACATTTCACATATCCCCAGATAGCTGGGATCTGAGTGCACATTATTAGATAAATTGCACTCAGATCACACAAATAAGCCTTTCTGCAGGGGAAATAAACGGTTTAACCTGCCGGGCCATAGTCCAAAGGGAGCAGGCGAGCAACCAGGCTTCTCCAGTTCACAGTGGCGAGGTTGGTTTCGCCACACTTCTCCCCTTTACCAACTAGACTAACAGGGTATCTGACCTCCTGCCGGTCAGTGCCCTGGTTAGTCCAGCAACCCACCCACAAAACAGAAACAGCAGTACAGCCCACCCACAATAACTGGTTACTACACCTGGGTAGAGGAGAACTTTGTCCATGTCCAGGTGCCTCACCACGACTGTGTGGGCAACTGTTAGGCTGCCTTGGTGGGTTGCTGAGTGGGCAGAGACCAGCGGTACTATGCCCTGGTGCCAGCACTACCACGGGAGTAGTCTGCTTGGAGCCTGGTTGCTGGAGGGGGAGACAGACTGTCTCCCCTTTGCCTAAACAGTCCTGCTGCTGGGGGACAGGACCGACTGTCCCTACCCCCGGTGGTGCATGTGCAGAGACCACTGTCCCATCTGCACTGTTGTGGAGATTACTGTCTCCCCTTGGTGGGCTAAGCTGCCGCTGGGGAGAGGGGGTAACCAGCTCCTCTCCCATACATACTTTCAGCCGCTGGGGAGAGGGGATAACAAGCTCCTCTCCCTGACACTCTCTCTGCTGTTGAAGGGGGAGACCGACTGTCTCCCCTTTCAATAATTTGTCCTGTTGCTGGGGAGAGGTGATAACTGGTTCCTCTCCCTGGAACACTCTCTGCTGTTGGAGAGGGGGACCAACTGTCTCCCCTTTTAATATATTGTCCTGCTGCTGGGGAGCGAGACCGACTGTCTCCGCTTCCTGCAGGACACACTGCCGCTGGGGAGGAAGTACGGCACCTTCAGCTCCCTGGGATACACACTGCCGCTGGGGAGGAAGGACGGCACCTTCTGCTCCCTGGGGTACACACTGCCGCTGGGGAGAAGGACGACACCTTTGGCTCCCTGGGACTCACACTGCCGCTGGGGAGGAAGGACGGCACCTTCAGCTCCCTGGGGTACACACTGCCGCTGGGGAGGAAGGACGGCACCTTCAGCTCCCTGGAATACACACTGCCGCTGGGGAGGAAGGACTGCACCTTTGGCTCCCTGGGACACACACTGCCGCTGGGGAGGAAGGACAACACCTTCTGCTCCCTGGGGTACACACTGCCGCTGGGGAGGAAGGACGACACCTTTGGCTCCCTGGGACTCACACTGCCGCTGGGGAGGAAGGACAACACCTTCTGCTCCCTGGGGTACACACTGCCGCTGGGGAGGAAGGACGGCACCTTCAGCTCCCTGGGGGACACACTGCCGCTGGGCAGGAAGGATGACACCTTTGGCTCCCTGGGACACACACTGCCGCTGGGGAGGAAGGACAACACCTTCTGCTCCCTGGGGTACACACTGCCGCTGGGGAGGAAGGACGACACCTTTGGCTCCCTGGGACTCACACTGCCGCTGGGGAGGAAGGACAACACCTTCTGCTCCCTGGGGTACACACTGCTGCTGGGGAGGAAGGACGACACCTTTGGCTCCCTGGGACTCCTTTTTGGCCAAATCTACTAGAGATTGCAGGTATTCTCTTACTAGTTTCCTGGCGAGCTGCACAGCTCTCTCTGGGGGGTTGGGTCCAAAGGTAGACAGCACCTCATTAACCTCTCTGTCAAACTCCTCCTGAGTGTAGTCATACGCCATGCTTGCTCTGCTGAAGTTAGTTCTTTTGTAGATAGGGTCGCTGTACGGGTACTAGCGTTGCCCTCAATTTGTAAATCCACGAACTGTGTCTCAGAGCTGCTTTACCTCGCACTAGGACGCCATCCCACCGCTGCCACCAATGTAACGGATCGACTGGCACCCCGACTGAGTACCTCCGTTAAAGGATGCTCCTAGCGTTTCCTGAGGACTCCAAGCACTCTGGCAGACACCACAATCACCGAACCTAAGAAGCATATAAATCCTCTCAAGCATATGAATGCTGCAGACAGTTGAATAGGAACCATACGAATAGGTTTACTCTCCTAGCAGTCAAACTGGAACAGCATACAATAAATCCTTCCCCCAATAATGAGACGACACTTCACTTTGAGGGTTAAAACAGGAACTCTCTGTACTGTCACATACAGTCTCTTTTATTCCCAATCCACAAACATAGTACAGCCCACAGGGCGTTACAAAACAACCAATCACATCACAGTTACATCCCACATATTCCCTCCCCTTATCCTGAGAGGAAACTCAATTATACATACAGTTAAAACATACTTTCTACCCAACTTTCATAACTCTAAAACCATACATCACATTCACATAAAATTACATATTCACAATCAATCCATTCAGGGGAACAACATATTCAAAAATGGCACAAATCAGACAAGGGGTTCAAAAGTTAGTAAAAAGTCCTTTGTGACTAAATGAAGCATGGCTTTCTGGCCCAAACCAGTTTCAGAGTCTTCTATCCTGGAGATAAGTAATTCAATTATCTCCCAGGACAGACACAAGACTCCATTAAGCACATGGTTGCAAAAGACACAAAACACTTTAAAATACATAAAGTCACATTTTACACATAGCACACAGACATTTCACATATCCCCAGATTAGCTGGGATCTGAGTGCACATTATTAGATGAATGGCACTCAGATCACACAAATAAGCCTTTCTGCAGGGGAAATAAACGGTTTAACCTGCCGGGCCATAGTCCAAAGGGAGCAGGCGAGCAACCAGGCTTCTCCAGTTCACAGTGGCGAGGTTGGTTTCGCCACAGC